TATTATATTAAAACCCCACAAACTTCTAGTTATTATTTAACAGTTATTTCCCTTCCAAAATTACAAATTGCAAATATAGATTTTGATAGTAGACAAAACAATGTCTTAAATATTAGAGAATGAATACATGCCAGATTAAGAGATCAATTTCACATACAAAAAATGTACAGAGCCAGATACTTAAAGAGACAATATACTCCTGTTTGTTCCCAACAAGGGGACTTCTTGGGTGAAATCTGAAACTGTCCTCCCCCAACCCCCGTGGGCAAGTAAAGACTGAAAAAAGGGGCAGAGTAGTCCAGATTATTAAGATTAGTAGGTGGCAAGTTTAAAAACCAAGGGAATTTACATACGAGGCTTGTCTTGGGCACGGCAAGATGAGCAGAAATCGGTACTAGACCACCAGAATCTTAAAAGTTTATATAGAGGCCTTATCTGGGTTTGAGACAGGAGGGGAGGGGGCAGGGCACAACCTTTAAAAGAATAACCGTTGAGGACATGACATAAAATGGTTAGAAACAATTAGGCCCAAGATGGCAGAAGATTGGACTTCCAGTGGACCTTGAGCCTCATTATACGTTCATTGCAATGCATTAGCATCTAAATGACAGACAGGTGCCATGACAGTTCCAAGGCTGACCACAAAAGGCCAAAAAGTGGGCAGTGGCCCAATTCCTGGAAATCCCTGACCCTTCCCCAAAGTAGTTGGAATATTCCTCCCACTCGTTAGCCTATGAAATTACCCAGCCCTTTAAAAACTAACCACCCCCCGCACCCCGGCACAGCTCTCACATTCTGAGACAGACCACATTCTCTCCATGGAGTGTGTATCTCTCTAAATAAATCTACTTTTCTAAAAATTAATTTTTATTGGGGTATGGTTGCTTTACAATGTTGTATTAACCCACTGCACAACAAAATGAATCAGCCATACATATACAGATATCCTCTCCCTTTTGGACTTCCCTCCCAATTTACTTACCACAGTGCATTAGGCAGAGTTTCCTGTGCTGTACAGTATGTTCCCATCAGTTGTCTATTTTATACATGGTATCAAAATGTATATGTCGGGCTTCCCTGGTGGTGCAGTGGTTGAGAGTCCGCCTGCCGATGCAGAGGACACGGATTCGTGCCCCGGTCCAGGAGGGTCCCACATGCTGCGGAGCGGCTAGGCCCGTGAGCCATGGGCCGCTGAGCCTGCACACCCGGAGCCTGTGCTCCGCACCGGGAGAGGCCACAACAGTGAGAGGCCCGCGTACCGCAAAAAAAAAAAAAAAAAATTCACTTAAAATGTATATGTGTCAATCCCAGTCTCCCAATTCCTCCCACCCCACTCCTTTCCCCCTTGGTATCCATACATTTGTTCTCTACATCTGTGTCTCTATTCCTGCTTTGCAAATAAGATCATCTATACCATTTTTCTAGATTCCACATATATGCATTATTATACATTATTTGCTTTTCTCTTTCTGACTTACTTCACTCTGTATGACACTCTGTAGGTCCATCCGCATCCCTACAAATGACCCAGTTTCATTCCTTTTTATGGCTGAGTAATAGTCCATTGTATATGTGTACAACATCTTCTTAATCCATTCCTCTGTTGATGGACATTTAGGTTGCTTCCATGTCCTGGCTATTGTAAATAGTGCTGCTATGAACATTGGGGTGCATGTGTTTTCTTGAATTATGGTTTCCTCTGGGTATAGGCCCAGTAGTGGGATTGCTGGGTCATATGGTAGCTCTATTTTTAGTTTTTAAAGGAACCTCCATACTGTTCTCCATAGTGGCTGTATCAATTTACATTCCCACCAACAGTGTATGGGGGTTCCCTTTTCTCCACATACCCTCTCCAGCATTTATTTATTTATTTATTTAACATCTTTATTGGAGTATAGTTGCTTTACAATGGTGTGTTAGTTTCTGCTTTATAACCAGCATTTATTATTTGTAAATTTTTTGATGATGGCCATTCTGACTGGTGTGAGGTAATACCTCATTGTAGTTTTGATTCACATTTCTCTAATAATTAGTGATGTTGAGCATCTTTTCATGTGCCTCTTGGCAATCTGTATGTCTTCTTTGGAGAAATGTCTATTTAGGTCTTCTGCCCATTTTTTCATTGGGTTGTTTATTTTTTTTGATATTGAGCTGTATGAGCTGCTTGTATATTTTGGAGATTAATCCTTTGTCATTTGCCTCGTTTGCAAATATTTTCTCCCATTCTGAGGGCTGTCTTTTTGTCTTATTTATGGTTTCCTTTGCTGTGCAAAAGCTTTTAAGCTTAATTAAGTCCCATTTGTCTATTTTTGTTTTAATTTTCATTATTCTAGGAGGTGGGTCAAAAAAGATGTTGCTGTGATTTATGTGAAATAAATCTACTTCTTACCTATCACTTTTTGCCTCTCACTGAATTCTTTCTGCGGCCAGACTTAAAGAAACTGAGCTTCAGTAAGTCCTGAGATGAGTTGTGTGGTTTCAGTTGGAAGATTGTGGGTTCGAGTCCCTTATGAGGTGAGGTTTCAGGTTCAGTCAAATACCCCATTCTGATGGTCCCAACAATACGTTTTCTCTCATGTGTTCTTGGAACTGGCTCCCACTGTGGGAACAGTGGGAAGGGTGTACATTTCAAGGGCATGGGAGGGGGTGAGGAGCCTCTGGTCATCCAGATCCAGCTTAGGGGTCGACCTGAGGTCGTGTCCTCTCAATTACCTCCTCCAACAACTCCCAATTGCTGATTACAGGTTATTTTCCAACTTTTAGTACTGAGCATTGGAGAAAGTCTATTACCTATTTAAAAATAAATTTTGGAATCCCTCTGACAAATTAGTGCAGTCCTAGTTTGTGTATTCAAAATTGATATAGTCAATAAATGTATTAGTGTGTAGTGGACAAAGTAACGTATTCCCCAGATCCCCTTAAATAAAAGACCTGTTACTCCAGCTGTGGAACTACTGCCAGAAGAAGGCCTCCAGCTGTTCTCTTCTTCAGGGATTGTCTCAGCTTCAGGGAGCTGCCTTGTCTCAAGTTCAAGTCCCTTGCAAGGCAGCTCAAACTCAGTAATTAATGTTAGTATATAAAGGACTGGACAACTCAAACCAACTCAGGACAACTCTGAAGGGTCATCCTAGCTCCAGAGCTCCCTGGAGGGCCCAAGACTGTTACTGGCCTATTTATAGCTTGACTTCTACCTCTACCCATCCCTGCCCCCTATATCTCCCACCCACCAGTGTTGGTCCTTAGTATCTTGCCTGCTAAACTCTCAAGAAATGTCATTGTCTGTATAAAAAGAAAACCCCTAGGATCTAGTGCAATGCAGTGTTTACAGAAAGAGTATTACTATTCATTTAGAATGTTTACCTTGCATAACTCCTAAATGAATTTGAGGCAACTAACAATAATCATAGTATTTAACCAGTAGACACAACCACAAAAACACAAGCTTTATGTAGGACAGGAAAGATAGTTTAAGTCAGTGAAGTTCAATATTTCAAAGCAAAATTTTAATTGATTGATACCAATCAATCACAAATGAAGAACACCTCTATAATTTATGGGTTTTGCATCTGTGCAAGAACACATACAAGAAAGTAAAAAACAGAAATATTTATGCAAATAATTGTGGGAGTGGGAGTGGGGGTGGTAGGTGGGTAGTTAGGGCTATGTGTGTGACTTAGAAAATAAAGAGTTGGATTTAGAGACTCCTATTCCTTTAAACAGAAAAACAGGGTATGATATACCAGGACATATTTCTCCTTTATACATAGGAATATTGAGGGAGAGAAATAATCATCCATTTATCATATGGTTCCTGTTTTGATATGACAGCTACTACACAGAGGGTACTGAGCAAATGGGAAACAAGCAAGAGGGAAATGATAAATATTGTACCATTAACTAGAAAACTGTTGAGAGTTATTGAGTGTAACAGGGTACCCACAGATACAAACCTTTATTTTTAATCTGCTATCCAGTTGTGGGATCAGATACCATATCGCTAGCTTCTGAGGGTATTACTGGGGCAGTTAAGGACAGAAAAGGGCGTGAATTCTTCATTTCCGATGTTGAAAATGCACGACTGGTTTTGTGAATCTCTCTCATTGTAGCCTGTATAGTAAATATTCTTAAAGATGTTGGAGCCTTCAGGGGTTGGGAAGGGAGTGGGCAAGCGAGGGATTTAAGATGAACCGCAAGGTATCTTTGCAATCTTCAATCCAAACATCACTCATCAGAAAGCACTGTCATCTCTTGGTACATAAATGCCCTATTCTTATGCTCTGTCAGTCTTCTTAATTGGGCAAGCCCAGCCTTACCATTACACGTACAATAAACTGACACTTTGATGCCCAGTCTGAGCTTTTGTCCCATATCAGGAAAGGCAGGGGACAGTCAAGGCAGGCTGTTTCAGACTTGAGTAGAGGCTCAACTAGCAACTAGTTTGCTACCCAACTAGCAAAGTCAGCTTGGACAAGTCCAGCTTCCCCTAAGCCTGAAATTCTAAGTCAGAAAGTAGCCAGTTTGTGCTGGGCACTCAGACCCCAGCCCTACTGAGATACCTCCCGGGTGGGCACAACATCCCGAGGGCATCTTCACTTGTTAGGTGCCAAACCGTCTGTAGGTAGGAGGGGCCTCTGTGGGTGCCAGCGAACGTTTCTGGGGTGGCTGACTGAAAGAGGGCCACTCAGAGGTCACAGAGAGAGGGATTCTCTCGATCCTTGCTGCTCGGTGTGGTCGGAGGACCAGCGGCATCAGCGTCGCCTGGGAGCTTGTTTGGCCAGTAGAATCTCAGACCCCAGGCCAGACCAACTGAATCCGAATATGCATTTTAATCCTAGGCACCTTGAAGTTTGAGAAGCACGGGTCCAGGTGACAGCAATGAGGCTAGCGGAAGGATCTGCCTCTCAGCCCCGCCCCTCCTCCCTTTGCTCTCCCCTTAAGCATAGCTCAGCTTTGGTCCTGCACAAAATTTCTGCAAACCCGGGGTGTGTGGGGAGGAGGCGTGCAGGAGCTGCCGGGCCGAGGAGGGCAGAGGCGAAGTGTGAGCGGATGGGCGAAAGGCGGCTTTCTCCAGCTCGGAGCTCCGCGACGTGGAGACACTCCCCCGACCCTCCCTCCGACCCCTCTCCACCCCCACACCCCGCAGCTGCTACCGCCTGCCTCCAGCCGGCTGCCACGAAAACCCGGAACAGCTGCGTGCGCTCCTGGAAAGTCCTCCTAGTGCTAAGCCGGGCAGCTGGGCATGCTCAGTAGCTGGGGGAGGCTCGCGTGGAGAGTAGAAAGCTTTGGCTTAGCCTCCCACCCCCTCCCGCTGGCCCCCGCCCCCCTTGCCCCTACCCTGCCTGTAGTAGTTGCCCGGCGTGCGCCCGGGGAGACTCGGAACATGGCGCTCCGAGCGTTGTAGAAGCCGAGGAGGAGAAGGGGATGAGGCACCGCCGCCGCGCTGACAGCCAGCAACCAGGTAGGCAAGCGCGCCTGGCGGGGCTGCCTGGGTGGATACGGGCGCGGGGACGGGCGCTTGCGGGGATGCGCACGGCTGGGACCCGGGCATCTTGGTTTGCCGGGAGAGGATGAGAAGCGGACGTCTGTGACAGCGCGCAATTGTGCATCTCCTAGGAGATGCCAAAGGCTGGGGACCGGCTGGCTGGAGGAAAAGGAACCGGGGACGCCCCCCCCCCGCCCCCCACACCCATGCGCTGCCATCCAGCATGGGCTCTCTATGGGTCAAATAAAGGGTAGTTCTTTTCTGCTGGGCAGGAGGGCGTGGGGGAGAATCCCGGATACCAGTCCTGGGAGTGCACTGGTCCCCCGGACCGCTGGCAAGCCCAGCACCAGTTCTTTGTGTATACAGCCGCGCACGCCCGGGGGGTGCCAGGGTGCCTGCTTCCCCCGAGAAGTGTTGGACATATTGCCAGGGCAGGATTCCCATTTGGTTTTTGTCTCTTGGCAGGTGTAGACTGGAGGATGCAATAGCTGAGCCTTTATGGGGCTGTGTTTTCCTTTGTTACTTGCCTTGGTGTATGCGTGTGTGCGCGTGGTGGGTTGTAATGGAGAGAGAGAACTTCTGCTCGTGGGCACGGGTGTGGACAAAGCGTGGAAGAGAATCTAGGATCCAAACTCTTGTCAAAATTGCCTGCGATGTCGACCTCTTGGAGGGTAAACTTGAAAAGTCCAGAGATCATCAGTGCCCAGTTTGAAGGAGAAGCATGTTCGCCTTTCTTAAACCCATGTGTGTGTATCTGGAGCTTTAAACCTGGGACGCGAGGCAATTCAACATTAGGTATCAATTAAGGGAATTTGAAGCATTGGGGTTTTCTATGCTGATCTTTTTTTTTTTTTAAGGCCAAATTAATTAAAAAAAGAAAAGTTGGCACAAAGCCAGAGGAAAGTGTCGTCGTTAATAGTTAATGACAGTTTGGAAGGCAGAATACACTTTTGGGGAAATCAGGAAACCTGGCATTCCACAGGGTTCGACCAAGAAATAGCCATAGGGTCTTAGGTAACTCACAAAACCTCTCAGTGCATCCCTTTCCTTTCTGGGGTTAGGTAGATACTATGTTAACCTGAGTCCAGATGGACTAGACCACTCTTTAGAAGTCCCTCCTACACTAGAATTCTATGAAATTGACACCCCATAATAACAGCTCTGCACCTTACATTTGTATGTCTGTTTTATTCAGCCCAACAACTCACTGAGTTAGGGAGGAAAGGTAAATTTAGAATCTGCTTTTATTTTTTGCTTTATAATTTAAGGGATGGACATCTGCGACATCTGAAGTTTAGAGACACTTCCCTCTGTACTTACAGTATTTATTTTTATGGGCTCCTTAGGTGGCAAGAATGAGTTAGTATCATCAAAATGAAATGGGAGATGCTAGAATAAAATGCATTTAATTAAAGTAAAGCCATAAATGTCCAGTCTGATGATAATACCTTGACTTGGAATACATATGTGCAAAGCAGACGCACTGCTAATGGAAGCAGTAGAAGTTGATGGCAAATTCATTGATAGAATTGCTCTTATAATGACGTTTTTTGTGCTCCTCTGTGAATGGGTAGAGACTGATTGTACTAGGTCCCTGAACTTGTTGTTTTGCTAATAAATATGAGTTTTAATTGCAGGCACTGAAAACAGTATGACTGTGCCTCCCCCCGCTCCTTCACTTTGCTATTTTGATAAAATGTTGCAGGTGTAAGAGGCAGGTGTTCTAGGCTGCCTAGTCACCTTGGTGATGAGACAGCTGAGTTTGAGCTCTGACGCTTTCATATTTAGCTTTGTGATCTTGGGCAAGTTATTTAACTTTCCCAAGCCTCAGTTTCCTCATCTGTAAAACAAGTCTAGAACTAGTAAGACTTAACCTTAAGACTTAAATGGGTAGGTGTGTGGATTACTCATAATCTAAAGCACAACCAATGGTGGTGATCATTATAAGAGGAAGGGAAATGGAGGTTTGTTTAGCCTGTACTCTGTGCCCTGTATTAAGCTAGACAAGTTCAAACATGTAATCTTCCTAACTGTATTAGTTTCCTGGGGCTGCCATAACAAATTACCAAAAACTAGAGGGTTTAAAACGGCAGAAATTCATTCTCTCACAGTTCTGGAGACTACAAGTCCATAAGCAAGGTTTAGGCAAGGCCATGGTCTCTCGGAAGCCTCAAGAGGAGGATCCTCTCTGGCTTCCCTCAGCTTCTGGCAGACGCAGGTATTCCTTGATTTGTGACAGCATAACTCTAATTTCTGCCTCCATCTTCACATGGTGGAGTTCCCCCTTCTGTAAATAAGGACACCATTTGTATTGGATTCATATTGGATTTAGGGCCCCTCTAATTTGGTGTGACCTCATCTTAACTTGATTACATCTGCAAAGACCCTATTTCCTAATCAGGTCACATTTTTAGGTTCCGGTTAGGTATGAATTTGGGGGGCGGACACTATTCAGCCTGGTACACCCTATTATCTATATTTAATGACAATATTAGTATTATGTCAGCCTACCAGCAGGATGTAAAGGTAAAATAGCATGGGTTCAGAAAAGACTTTAAAGCTTATTTAATTCAGCTAACATATTTGAGGTTTTGTATACCCAAACATGGTAGGGAAGAGCAGCATTCAAAGGTATCTCATTTATACAAATGTCACTTGTCTGGAAACCAAGTCAATCCAGGGTTTCAATCTTGTACAGGTAACACACCTGACATACCCTGTCCCAAATGGATTTGTTAATGTTTGCCTTCCTCCCTTTTTGCTACCCCACCAACGCAATGCAAACAAAGAGCAGAAAACCATATTAAACAACAAAAATAACAGCAGTAACAAAAATACCCCAATCTTAACACCTTTCTAATCTTTCTTATCCTGGTAAATGGCACCACTGTCCATGGAGTTGCCAGAAACTCAAGAATCATCTCTGATACCTCTATTCCCTTTGTACTCCATATCAAAAACTATCACAAATTCTTGCAAATTCTGTCTTCTACATATATCTCTAAAATCTTGATAGATTCTTCTTTCCATCCCCACTGCCACCACCATCAAACTTCAAGTTGTCTTCTCTCACTTGGTCCACCAGTATAACTTTCTAACAAGACTCCTGGTTCTCTGCTTGGCCCCTCCAATCCTTTATCCAGAACAGATAGAATCATGTCAGTCCCCTGCATAAGATGCATTCATGTACCTGGGACAGTTTCCAGAGACTCTTGGAGCCTTGGGGACTTGGCTGGCCTCATCTTCGGCATCTCTTCTACTTACTTCTGTCATACTGACCTGTTTCTTGAACATCCCAAGCACTTCCCCCTATACTTTGCCAGTCCAAGCCCTACTCCCCCTTTGGGCCTCCTTGATCTCCTCTCCTCACCAATCCAAATCTATCATCACCTTTCTACTTTTCTTCCATAGCACTTACCTCAATTTGCAGTTTCCTATTTATTTCTTTGGCCATTCATTTAATGTCTGTAAGCTCTGTGATGGCCTTTTGTTTTGTGTCTTTCATGTAGAAGATGCTTACTAAATGGTGAATGAGTGAAGGAATGAATACTCCTCCTCACAGCATTTTTCTGTGCCAATTTAAAGATACGATTTTTTAGAAACTTTTTCTTTACTACTTATATAAAAAGAGCAATTTAGAACCTCATTCTGACTTTTTCTTGGCTTTAACAAATGCATCTTCGAAGAATTGATTTTAAGTGGGAAGTTAAGAATTGAGTCAAAATATTTTCTGGCAACTGAGGCTTTTGTAAAAATGTCAGTCAACAGAATTTCCCAAATATTTGTTGGACATTTACATTTTCCATGCTAGGCCCTAGGAAGACAGTGGTGAACCAGACTTTTAGCCTTCTAGAGATTAATAGTAACAATAAATAATCCTGATGTGTAATAATAATAATTAATAATATTATATATTGAGCTTTTGTTATATGCCAGGTTCTCTTTCATCCCTATTCCTACTCATTACTACAGATGGCTCTCCAGTCTTTCCCAGTAATACAGAACCCAAATTAGATGCAAAACAAATATTTGATGAATTAATAATTAAATACTATTATCCTGATCTTTCAAAATAGGAAACTTATGCTTCTCTGGGTAAAAAAGAATCTGCTCATATATAGAAGTGCATGCAGTTGCTTTCTGAATATATCTAGGTGGACTCTGTTCTACTTTAAAAATTATCCTGCCTATTGTCTCTGGGGTTAAAAATAAGAGACAAATTGCTCTTTATGTGAAAACAGGTTCCTGGTGTGTTTCTTTGTCTTCCACAGTTGTCAAAATTCTTAATCACCAGCTGAATTGTTTTATCTGTCCTGTTTAATCCAAGTGAGAATTGACTTAATCTCTCTCATTTAGAGCCCTTTTTGGTAGTTTTGAATAGCAAGACTGAGTACCTGAGGGAAATGAAGGTGGTTCAACATGGGAACACAGGTTATATTTTGTATTTCTAGGGTGGCCTCAATTTCATGTCATTTTAGTAGTTGCATAATAGGTGATTTGTAAAAATAAATAAAAGTATCATTTAATGAATATGCTTATGTATTACTTTTTACCTACACAAGGAAGAAATCAGACACTGTATCTTGATTTTGTTTAAAAGCAATGGATATACAGTTGAGTCAATTAAAACCTAAAGAAACTAATAAGAGAGGTCAGTAAAGTGGTTGGTTATAAAATACATGTTCAGAAATCAAGGATTACCTCCAATGCCAGTATTTACCAACTAAAAAATACAGTAGAAAATGACTCTGTTCATGAATCTACAAAAATATATATTATCTAAGAAGAATAGGAAATGTCCATAAAATATCAATACTTGGAAAAAAAAATCTAAGGACTCACGTAGGAAAGCTATAAAATTTTACTCAGACACATAAAATAAGAAACAAACAAATGAAAACATGCCTTATTCTTGGATAGAAAGATAGATATTATGATATGGTTATTTTTCCAGCATAATTGTATAGTTTTATTGC